ACAGACACCCCTCGAATTTGATTCATGAGAAGTTATGATGCAGTGGACACAAAGAAGCATGTCTTAGTCAAAATTAAAATTCAGTAAGCTGTGCGTTAGAAGACATGATTAATAAACATGCTACAACAGCATTCTGGAGTTTATAGAAAACTATGGCATAAATTATAATCTGAAATAACAAATGTTAATTAAAACATTGTTTTATTTCTGCTAAAATATGTATAAGGCAAGCCTCTCCAGTTACAAAGCTCTCAGTTTTGTACCATATTCTTAATAAAGCTGGTGCTTAGTTTTAACCAGTTTATTAATATAGTGACATGATCTAAACATACAGGAGAGAGAAACAAACAAACAAACAGTATTTTACCTCAATGTGGATTAAAAAAAGAATGTAATAGGTCATGTGGAATGCGTTCTATAGTTCAGTAGTGTTATACCAAAAAAAGAACCCATTTCCAAACTGCCTGGAAACACGACATATTAGAACTGTATTCAGTGTAATCACACACAAATATCAACAAGAATATATAAAAAAATCCTAAGACTACCTTAAAAATTTTGCTACAGTGTTGATTTATATTTGAGCTTATATATTTCAAATTAAATTTAAAATTTATCAACAATACAGACAAAATTTTAAAAATCTAAAAAAGTGTTATTCATGGCAGCAAATATAAACATATGCTTAGCATATAAGCAATTCTTACAGAGCTATAAGTTGCTAATGAAATGAATATGACTAATTACAGTCAGAACGATGATGGAAGGTTGAATGTAAGAGTTAAAAATATGTCTACTCTTGGATGCAAATGTGCAGCATTCAAGCATGAAAACTGAACAGCACCTCAGGACAGATTGTTTTTTGCTTCTAGAAATTTAAAAAAATTCAGCTAGAGGGAAAAAAATTAAAAAAAAATAAAAACTCAACTGAAAAGAAATTTGGATTCACAGTAATCAGAGAAGAAGATCTAATACCATTAAATCCAAATTATTTTGTTGCATTTTCACCTGCAGTTTTTCCAGTAAAAGTATCTTCATTCTAGATATCTAAGAACATATAATCAGCTTACCTGGAAAGAGCAGAACTCTTTTAGTCACTTCCTATGGAAAATAATCAAAATTAAAAATTAAAAGAATAAAACAAAGGCAAGGAAACACTTCTTGGACTTAGAATAACTGAAAACCAATGGTAATCATACACTACCACATATATGGTATAATACCATGCCACAGAAAAACATTGACTTTCAAATACACAAAAACCCCTTAATGTTTTTTAATATCTCATTTTTACAAAAATATGGATTTCAGAGAAGAAAACAATGAGTAATCTTTCTCATTCAAAATACCTGGCAAGAAACACTATCACCAGGAGGAAAATGAGTGACAACTCTAAATTTGGAAAATGATGACTGCTTCAATACAACAGAACATACATGGCCAATAAGGAGAGATATTAAAATATGAAAGTTACTGGCAGTGAAAAACAGAAGGAATGCAACATTTAATTTCTCAATTTTGAAACAATTCAACATATTCCATTACAGTCTTATGAACTACAGCCATTAAAATAGGTTAGGGATGCAAAACAATTACATACTTCTAAAAATCTGTGAGAGGACTGTGTGAGTAACTTAAATACAAACACACACTACCAAAATAATATTGTATTTTTTGAGGAAAAATAAAACAATGGTTTCTTAAAAGTTACAGTAAAAACCACTAAGTGTTACCTTGTAGAAGCTGGGTCTATAATGTTAATCTACCCACTATTAAAGCTAACAAAAAGGAAAGTTTTCTTATGGTTTGTCTAAAACAAGGTGACTAGAACTACAAAATTATCTGAATTATTGAGAAAAAAGGAAGATTATTGGGCACTTGTGGATAGCTCAGAAATAAAATGTTTTAAAAAAAAGATTTTTCACCACTGAACTGCTGATTTATTTTGTTTTGGAGATGGTTCTAAGTTTGTTGTTATTTGACCATTTATCATGTATCCCAGAGAATCTCAAATAAAACTAACAAATATCCACGTATTCAATAAATACTAGTACTCCCATTATGCAAATCTTAAAAAAAATAATTAAAAATCACATAATTCAAGTTATTGTAAATAAATACCTAACTATAAACTTTGTAAATAAATAAAATTCTGCTAAGTATAGGTTAGCCTCCTAAACAGACAACTAAACTAACAAATGCATTGTCTAAAATTCAGAAAAATAGGTCAGAAAGATAGGTTTATTTTTGGAAAGTTACTACAACGTGCTTTTAGGGCAACTCCAAGCACACTATCCCATACTTTCCAATGCTTTGTGCTAGCTATGCTTCTTTGGCTAGTTAATGAGTTACAGACTTAAAACTGCCTTTTTAAAAAAAAAAAAAAAAATAATTAAAATCCAGATACAAAGGTATCTCAATGAGAAAATGTGCATGTGCTCTCAGACTGCAAAGGTTACAGAAATCAGGAAACCCTCCTGAAAGTCCTTCTGTTCTCAAAAAACGCTGTTTTCCCTGTCTATAATAATGCTTTTCAACCTGGAGGGCCTCAGAAGAGTTTTTTCTTAGCCTGTAAAGGGCTAAAAATGGAAATTTGTATTCCCTTTACAGCACCAAGCGTAGAAAGAGATCTATACCTCTACTGGAAAATGTAACGGGACTATCAGTTGAAAGCACGGAAGAGTCACAGCAGATACGTTGTTTTCCAAAGCCACACGACATTCAAAAGCAGAGCATGCATATTTCTGTTCTTTCCTTTAAACTGATCCTTACTGACAAAGGCTGACGTGCACTCAAAGTATTAAAACTGAGTTATATGTAACAGAACTCCAGCAATGTGCTGATTGTTTGGCCTATTTGGTCACTTCCTGTCCAAGCAGCTTTAAAGCATCCTCAACCTCCTTCATCCATTTTTTGGAGCAATTACTCACGGAAGTAAACAATTTTATCATTTGAACATTTCCATTACTGTGATCCATGAAACTAGAAGTACTATCAAGTAGACCAAACTCCAATGCAGATATTACTGCCAGCACCCTCAGATCATTTCAGAGTCGTGCACTGCACACTCCTCACTAAAGCGAGGCTGCGAGCTGCTGTTCCACTTTGTGCCATATTTCAGTGGCAAAATGACTAAAGCTCATCTTTCAAAGATTTTGCCACATAGAATGTTATAGGTAAAACGTTGAATATTATAGAATGCCTATTTAGGGTAATACAAGATAGTTTTGAACACCAAGTAGCAGAGCTGCTGCAACTGCAGCATGCTGGGGTAGATCCATATTCCACAAAGCTTAGCAGACCCTTGGCATAACTCTGAAATTTCTTTAATGTCTTGCTCTGATATGATAAACAAACAAAAAGTTGATAATCCATGCCATGGCCAACAGAAGGAAAACACTATTTTCACTTGGCTGACATAACCGGAATTTTTCCTTTCCCATTTACAGTACTTCAGTAACGCATCTTAGAGCACTCGTTCAGAATTGCCTCATCCATACACCACTAAAATGTGGAAAGAGGATGAGGTACTTTGGTAAACATTTTAAAACGCCTCTCGGTTCACAACCTGTTCGTTAGCACAAGATAGAAGTGAAAATGAGTATGAGGGAAGAAAAAAAAAAAAATCATCCATTTTTATCATTTCCTATTCTACAGGTAAGTGACTACTGATATGGTTTTGTGTACATGCATACCTTTACAAGTGAAACGTGGATAAGAAGTCACTCAACATTAATATCCATTGTGAATCCTGAAAACAAGAGGGTTTTAAGACAGCTTTTTTGTTTATTAGTTCTGGTGCTGTTTTTTTTTTGATGTTTCTTGCTATATGCAAATACTTCAACAAGTGAAGTGTTCATAACAGTCTAATTGCATCTAGGTATCTTTGTGAAGTTTTCTTGGGTTTAAAACAGAAAGACAGCATGCTTTTACATTTACCTATTGCACAATTAATTTCTTCTTTATTATGTTTCCCATTAACGTGATTCCACTACTAGACTGAACAGCTCCAGAGATCCATTTTGGTCTGTTGGCTCAAGGACTCCCAGAACAAAATAATAATAATAATAATAATAATAATAATAGAAATAACTTCTAATTAAGCCATTACATAGAAATGTACTTAGAAAGCCTCAGAGAGTTCATGAGTAAACAACACACATTTAGAAGACACCTCTGTAATAAAGTACAGTACAGTATACAGATGATACACCATAATAGCTCCAGATGGAGCTGTTACAGACAGCAACAATGCATTTAAAATGTTTATTATGGGTTTCTTCTTTTTTTTTTTTTTTAATTCTGATTAAAAAAAAAATTCCCCAGAGAATATTTAAAGCATAAAAACTAGTTTAAAGGCTCTACTAAAATGTTCATTTGTAATCAATAAAAAAAAAGGAAAAAAGGTCTGAGCAAACATTCCATCGTAGCCCTACTCTTGGTGTCAGGTTAGAGCAGCAGCCTCTGGCATCTGTTGAACACTGCAGGCTACCCTGATGAAGGCTGCAGCACCAACACAGACTTCCAGCTTTCACTCTGAATTTCTCCCCTTGTGTACCTAGGTGAGACCGCTAACGTTCTTACAATAGTTTTATATAAGCAACGGAACTATAATATCACAATTTAATAACAGATTTCTGTTACTAAATCAGCCTTCTAAAAATAGAAAAATATTTGATACTGTGAAAGTGTCTTTCAATCATACTTCTATCTTCACAGCTTTAATAAGGAATACCTAATTAGAACCATCACGTTAGAACTACGATGTGTATTCAGGTGATTTCATGTAAATAGACAAACAGTTAAAAACATACTTACTACGATTAAATATAGTCAAATTGCAAAAACATACAATCTGACAATGTTGCCATGTGCTCTTTCAAAGAGTGCATAGGACAGATTTCTGCAGCAGTCAATACAGTAACGGGTTTTTTTTTATGCAATCCCAGGTCAAAGCTGTAAACATTCCTAATTGCAGTTTCTTGGAAACTTTTTGTTCCTTTCAAGTTTTTATTAGCAAGTTGCACAGGGCATTCCCCTGCCATTTTGTTGCTTCTCATCAGTTACAGATAGTATCACCATCCACCTTTAACCCCTCTGGCTGTTCAAAACTACTCATAGGCATTTCTCCAGGAGGTTCAGGGTAGTAATCCTTCCCTTGCAGTGCACAATGACACTTTCCACACGCCATTGTTAGCAAGGCCCCCAGTGCACGATCTAGAGAAGCAGGTTGACGAGGAAGTCTGCTATGCCTTAATGGGGTTTCCTGCAGGTTTGGGATCATAACCATATAGGAAAGTAGCTGCTATTACAAGGATGGCTCCGAAGAAAAAGACACTGAATAGAATAGGGATTAAAAAAAAAAAAAAAAAAAAGAGGTTAGCTTGGTTTAGTTCATACAATTTTAATACAATCAAAAGAAAGGACATTTTTCCTGTGGGAACACAGAAAGATAAATTATATTTGTCTACTTTATAAAGAACAAAATAATTTGCCTATATTGCTTATAGAAGGATGCAGGAAGAGGTTGAAATAAACTAACATACATAAAGCAATGTATCATTACAGTGACATATTCTGAAAAGTAAAATTGTAGTTTCATGGAACAATTGTCAAAGGAACAATGCTTTTGTTTTTTTTTTTTTTTTTTTTTTTTTTTTTTTGTTTTGCTTTTGTTTTGTTTTGTTTTGCTTTTGTTTTGCTTTTGTTTTTGTGTGTGGTTTATTTTTTTCCCCCTTTTGCCTAAAGCTCTCTGCAAAATGCAAGCAGAAGCTAAACAAGTATAACTACTGTGGTTACTCAGCCACTTTTAACATCTTAGGTACATCATGTTGTTGAAGTTCAGTTTACTTTGAAGCTTAAAGCTTATGTCACAACAAATAACTGCACCCAAGAACCAGTTTGCAACTCAGTATAATCTAATTTTTGGCAGATACATAAAGATTTATGTGAGGACAAGATAATAAGGCATCTTTTGTATTGTGACATATGGACCTTTCAAGCTGTTTTGATAGTTACAAGTCTGAAACAAAACATTAAAAGCCAACAGACAATCAGTACATATTTTAGAAAAGAATCTTGTCACAAAGGCATGACAATACTGACAATTGGATCTTGCAATAGAGAACTGAAGAGTACAGTTAGCTCATTTCTAGACATGATCCGTTGCAATACATTTAAGCTTAAGTACTTTACACCTATTATCCCAATCAAAAATGTTTGTTGAAGTGGCAGAAACAACTACACCGTTTCAGTTCAAATAAATTCAGCTGGCATAAGCAAGGTACTAAAGGTTAAGTTTGATTAACTCAGGTTAATCAAGTTTTATTAAATAAGATGGTTTCAAGCTCTACATGCTGCTACTCAGCTCCATCTTATTTAATTATTTACAAATGTTTCCATTTTCACTATGTTTGCAGAACCTGGTAAGTTACTTATTAATTTTCCAGCTGAGCATGTAGAAATTCTTCAACCATTTTTTACATTAGTTTTAATATGATAAGTCTAGGCTATTTAAAATTTAAGTTCAATGTCTTCCACTTTTTAAGCCTAAATAGTTGTTCTAATTCCTTTTTTCTACTTGTAGATAAAAAGTTGTTTCTTTGTATTGGATACAAAAGTTGTAAATATTATTAAAAATATTTTTACACTATGAGTACATGTAACATACATGAGTAGTGCAGGTCAGTCAGAAGCAAAACCCTATTAATATACCTGAAAGTTGGAATATTACTGCAACACTCCACACATTAACATGCACTGCCAAGGAAAGCACTGTTCCAGAACCTACCCACAGACAAACCCTGCAGTGCACAGAGCTACTAACATCCCATTCACAGAACATGTGGACACGGAATATTGAGCCTAGTAGCACACAGCAAGCATTTTTATGTCTTTCTTGATTGTTTTCACTCATAAGTATGGAATTGTCTTTAGAAAAAAAAAGCTCTGCTTTGGGTCTTCAGGGTGTCCCTGGGCAACTAATGGCTGTAGTGTAACTTCCATACGTGTATGATTACAAATTTGTCTTTGAGAGACCGTTTATGAGATTGGATGAGAACCAGTATAAAAAGATGATTATCATTGTTCAGCCTAACTCCTCCTGCTATGAGATGACTTCTGGAAGATCCGTCCATCTAGAGGCCAAAGAGGAAACAAGATACAGGCAACTCCCTTGTCAGGACCTTGCTTAGAACAGCCAGCAGGGGGGCTGGTTCAAAGAGCAGAGCCAAAGGCAGGGCAAGGCAAACACCAGGACTAGAGGGCATGCTTCAGCCTAAAACCTAAACAGGACCTCAACAAACCAAGGGAGATTGGGTAGGGAGGAAAAGACAGGAGAGGGACAGTGAACACACAGAGCCTGCAAGAGAGTGCTTTGTCAAAAGCCAGGATTTGAGATTCAGTTACTCTTGACCTGGAGGGGGCTGTATTTGACAGAAAATTTAACTTTGCCAACTATACTGAAAAAAGAAAGCATCAGTTTTGATATGTTACAAAACTAAACTTTTATCTGCAGGTTGTATCCAAACATTCTAAAAGTGTGGCTTGGACTGGGTTTTTATTTTTGCAGTTATATCTGGTAAGCATTAAGTTCTCAATTGTTTGTTGGTTTTTTTGGTTGTTTTTTTTTTTTTTTTTTTTTTTTTTAGCATACACAGAAAATAATTCCTACCTTGTTGGGACAAAATCTTGCAGCCAGAAATAGGAGATCAATGTTGACAGTATAATAGAAAGAGAAGTTGCAAATCCCTTTAAAATGTTGTCCGCGTATTTTATAACAGCAGCAATCACCAGCCCTCCGAGTGCCTGAAAAAACATTGAGGTTTGGATTTTCAATCTGATAATTCCACTGAGAGCATGTATTTTAACAGCATGCACTTACTTTAGGGAGAGCTTTTGTCTATGTTTAGGAGCATTACATTAACTTTGGGTTATGGATATGCACTACTGGAGATAAGTATTGGAGGTATTGGAGGAGCTGTTCTATGCCCATTAAAGAAATAGTTGATCACATCACCACCAGTAAATTATTGGAAATGCTTGTGCTATACATTTTTAGCCACAGGGGGAAGGGCATTTTTTTTTTTTAACACAGCAAAAGAAATAATGTTTACACGCTTTTATGTTGCACAATACTTAGTCATATACTTGCTATATATTTTCCAGGTTTTTATTTAGAGGTTTATTCTAATAGTGATGAATCAGACTTTTGACTATAGAATTCCCAGTAGCTTCAGTGACACTCAATAGTTTTCCCAGTCACATATAAACGAGTAAATCCCAAGTGCCTTCATAAAAACATGTGATGCAAGGTATCTCACCTGCAGAACAACTACTACCCAGGTAAGTTTATTGTATCCTTGAAAAAATCCATTTTTTGACAGTTGTTCTCCATCATAAATGTATACGCCCATCAGTCCAAATATGCTACCAAAAAATCCTGAAAGCACAAGAAGGATTTAAAAGCTTCAGGTGAAAATCATGCAAACAAGTTCCTCGTCCTCGATGACTGATCACATATCTCTGATTTTAAAATAATACCGTCCCTTGCAATACCAGCACGTTCAAACCAATCAGCGTTCAGGCAGACATTCTCTTTTAGCAGCTATTTTCCACACCTGAAACAAGTTTTGAAGTTTCCTTTGGTATATTCTCATATACTTATATCTTTATTTTATCATCCAAAGCTTTCTACTAGAATGACGTGACTTGTTTACGGCATATAGCAAAATTCACTTAAACACAATTGCAATTCTCCTGAAACTATTCATGACTGAAGGCTGAAATCACACTATAACCTAGAGAGAAAAACAAGGAAAATTTTCAGTGGAGGAGATGGTCTCCGGCATAGCAAGAAGCAGGGCTTAACAGCTTGCCAGTTCAGACAAGGCTCTTGGAAATGGGATTCTTCCAAACCCATCTCAAACACAATGCGTGTTTACTAGCAGAGAATTGATGTCAAAACACAGAAATTGAGATGAGATTAAAAAGTTCCTAATTTGGTGAGTATAGTGCCAAATGCAAAATTTCTCCTAATCCCCGCAGGCATGGAAGTAATCTCAGCTCCTCCTCTGTGACAGGGCTCTAGTCCTGAGCAGGAACGGGGAAACAGTTTTTCCATTCTTTATCTGTGAAAAGTTGACCCCTATCCTCATCACATTTATTTGCATATGAAAAGGGTGGCATTGTTTTGAAAAAAAACCCCGAAAAACAAACCCCTTTCATTTGACAAGAAATAATTATTCTTGCAGACATAATTACAAATTTTGGTTTCATTCAGATTAAACCAATTACTCTTATTTTTCAACTGAATTGCTAAAATAAGAAAATAAATCTGATTACTCATATATCCCTAGTACGATACTGGTATCACACCATACCATTTACCTGCTTTAGCAGGGGGGTTGGACTAGATGATCTCCGGAGGTCCCCTCCAGCCCCTGCCACGCATGCATGAAAACCTGATTTTTTCAATAATTATTCAAGTATATTTTCCAATTTTTTATGCAATTGTAATAATTCTCTGTGGATATGAACATGAAAACCAGGTTGGATACATGGGGTTTCTTGTTTGTGTTTTAAGAAAAGCATCTTGCACTTGCAGAAAGGATACACTAATATATGTATTTTTTTTAGTTGTGATTTCATGTTTTAAATATTTCCTAAAAGCTGCATAAAGAAACTGTCTATGAAATACGACAAGATTTATTTCATTTTTTCACAGAAAACAACCTGAACAGTAAACATGCTCTACTGAATTTTGTATTGAGGCAAATTAAGCTCACTGAAAAAAAAAAAAAAAATAAAACCCCAGGTGGCTGGATTTGTACCACTGTCACAGACATTTATGCCTTCATATGTCACAGTCACAGATATTCATTACCTCGAACGGTTTGTGATTAGATGCAGTCTGTTCTGATCTCATTGTTTCACAAAGCAGTGACTGGAACATTCAATATATGACCAGGCCAACTACCAAACTAGTGAATTAATTTGGTTTTGTACGCTCTTTTGTAGAAATATATTTTCATACCTATTTTTGTAGAAAAATCTGAATAATGTGTTAGATGACATCCTTAATTTTTCAACAATTATGAATGTTTAATTGGAAATTGTTTCAGGCATCTGCACGATTTTCCACCGAAGTGCTTTTAGCAAGGAAATGGGGTAGTAATAATAACACTAATCAGCTTTCCTTGGCAATGGATTTTACATTGTAGCTCAATCCAGGAGCACCAACTCTTACCTTAAACCCTGGACCAAGCCCCAGCTACCCATCCTTCTCTGACTCCAAAATTCCCTAACACAACATTTCCTCATATATCCCCCGTACAACCTAGGTTTAATGCATGCAATTTCAATAAAGACTAGCAAATAGTAAGTGGAGATTTTGATCCCCTTCTCTATCCTCAAGTTTCAAAACTTTATGGACATGTACAAACATGAAAGTATAATCAAAATGTTTTTCTGTGTTTTTAACTGAAACCATTTAATGAAAAACATTTATGAAAATATAGCAACAGCTAAGAAAGGAAAAAATATTGCTTGTATTTAGACATTTTGACCAGTCCAGCTTTTGACCAACTACCTAATTACAAAAAAAAATACCATCTTTTGTTTTTATGGTTCTTTCTATGGTATATACTACCAGGCATTACACAGCTGTGATCCACTAAATCATCCTGATGACTTAATTCTACAGTACCATGGATTTGAACAAAAGCCTGTTCTAGAGATGCTGGAAACCTCAAATTCCGCTGAAAGCATTTATTCAAATATGTGATAAATAATTACCACCTACAGGGGAAGACTGGAGGGATTCCATGAAAGAAGGGCAAGTTCAACAGTAAGTTTTGTTTCTGTTGCATAACAGGAACAAAAAGACATTGCTGATGTCACACGCACAGCCCTGGGAACGGGACAAGATTGCTTTGAGGCGAGGGAAAAATCATTCCAGAAAATGGATCAACTCTGTCACCATTAGTGTCTCAGGTCTAGAAGACCCAGAACTACTTTGGAAATAGAAGGTATTGTATTCTCTTACTGACACGTGCCCAACAGGCTAGGGCACTAAAACAGTTAAGATGAACTGTCCTTTGCATATGTCTCTCTCCAGTGATTATACAGACAACTAAAACAAACTGACCTTTGTACTGAAATAATAATAGTAATTCATTACCTCGACTTTACTCATGAACAAAGAAGCTTTTTGTACTAGAAGTGCCAACCTATAAAAACTGTCTACTCAGATACAACAGAAAAAAAATGTTAATTTTAAAACGCCACAGAGCACTGATTTAGAAGCATATTTTAATGTTCATGTATTCTCTTAAAAAAAGAAAAAAAAAGAAAAAAAAAAAGGAAAAAGGAATACTTTATATTTACCAGATCTTATGAATTAGTGCAAAAGGCAATAATGTTTAAACAGAGGATATACAGAATACTGTATAAGATGCCATTCTTTAGAAAATTTGAAATACTAATGTAATCAACAGATTCTGTACAAACCTAAAGACACTCTATAAGCAAGTTTAATCAAGGACTAGCTTGAGATTAAAAAGGAACTGCTACAGTTCTATCTAGCAGAGTTTATACTCTCTTGGTTTTAAAAGTACATTTATGCAGAATACTAAAATGTTTGTGATACCTTTCATTTATAATTTTGCACATTTATCTTAATTCTTCAGAATGCAGTACCTCTAAAAGATGACTGAAATGAAACTTACCAAGCTGAATGTTTCTGATCCACACAGACTGTTTAGTTTCCTTCAAAATTTTCTCAAAATAAACCCCAGCAAATCCACTAGAAAAGCATGCGATAAGAACCGCGATCAGGCCTACAAACTGAGATCCTGCTTTCTGCTGAATGCTCCTTAGCAGATGTTGCTTGAGAGTCTGAAGGCCACTGGATATAAAAACAGTTATAACAAAACTCACTGATAGAATCAAGTCATGAACAGCTACAAAATGCAAATTTACTTTCTAGTAACATTAACAGTTATTACAGACCATCACATTCTTGTAACATTTTGTATTTTGTGCCATAAATACTTTTAAAGGATTGCAAAGCCATAATTTTTCTTTCTACATACTTGTAAGGAGTAAATTTGTGCCTGAACTGGAAGAACACTCATCAATTTAAACAGGTCCAAGGTTTGTCATTTATAAGCTGAACTGTTCCTGAATCCCAGCATGACTTACCATGGTCATGCATAGGCACCAACTTTTGCCACCTGACAATTTAGTTACCTTACAAATACAAGCAGAGTTAGGAAACCACTGAGATAAGCTTTAAGATGGGATGAATTGTCTTTTGCATGTGCCCCTCTTCACTGTATTATACAAAAAAATAAAATCAGCTGAAATTTATGAAGCTAGATCCTGCAATACATCCGATGCCAACAGAATTAAATGTAGTGCCGCACACAAAAACATACTGAAGGGCCTGTTAATTACTATCAGAATGTTTTGTTCTCATTTTTAATTATTAAATTTGAAAATTCTATCAAATTTGACCCTATTTTTTTTTCAAATCCTTAAGTCTTTTTAAGACAGAAAATTCTACGATATGGTAAAATCTGCTAAAAATTCTTAGAATAGTCTCTTATCCCACGATCCTGCCCTTTGAAACCTACTAACACCTCTACCTGCACTATTCAGAAGAGAGGCCAAGACTGCCTCTTGAAAAAAGTTGAAGTAAATGTGCCATGCTGAAACTGTGTCACAAGGTGAGCAGCAGGACTACACTGGCACAGAAGATCTGTGAATCCCTACTGGAAGTGGTGTGCCAATTAATACTGCTATCACTGTTACTTGCAGGTTGCTCCAGAAGCCCTGTCACATTCTACAGTAGAGCAATGGGACACAAAAGAGGTGTCATCTGCCTTAAAACCATTTCTGGTGTCCTCCAGTCCTGGGCAGTTGTGATTTGTAGCTCTTGACCATACTCTGGTGCTTCTGTGCAGTTGGTAGAATCAGAAACCTTCATACTGAGTACAGAAATCCATGTTAATCCATTAAATAAATACCAACCATCTGTTAATATTTACCTGCACAAATGCCACTCCTGTCATCAATATTACTAATGAAAGCCACTGGTATACACCCAATTTCTTGCTCAACATGGACACAGAAAATAATGCTGTGGTAAGAATTTTCAGTTGATACGTAACCTAGAAAAAAAAAACAGAAACAGTTACTACCACATAATTCCTGGGGTTTTTTCAAAACTTAGAGAGAAATCCAAACGTACAATACCTGGTATGTGGCTGCATCTAGGTTTGACAGTGCTACATACAGCAAATTATTCTGAAGAGTATAAATTCCTGAAGGAATAGCAAGTTTAAGAGTTTCCATTGGTTTATTAAGGATTTCATCATGTAGCACTCTGTTTAGAGTCCGTAAATTGCACTCTACCCAAAGAAACAATAAAAGAAACAGACATTCACTAACAGGAGATAAAAACCAAAGAGATAGCAACTTTCTGTTCTTCAACATTGCTGCCACTATAGCTTCTTCTATAGCTATCAAGACCTCAAAATGCTGCCTATGTTTGACTTTCATGAGCCTCATATATGTAAGAAAAACGGGCTACAAAGTGTCTTCCTGTAGCCTAGAATATCAGAACTGGAACAGCTAATCACAATACTTGAAGTAAAACTTATTTAAACTGTATCAGTGTTTGAAAGTGATTACACTAAAGAGAATCACCTAAAAAGTGCACATTTAGAAGTCTACAGTCATCAATATTTATGCATATACAATGATATTTTTAAGCTGCTGAGGATCAAATATGTATGTGAAGGAACAGAATAAATTCAGAATAAAATGTACAAAATAATACCCAGAGTAAGTCTGAATATACCTTTTTTTGAGCTTAAAACTGCTTCTTCCTGTAGTAATGAAATTGCTTCCTCCCTTCTGCATCTGCTGTTTATAATACGCTTCTAAATTATCATTCATGCTTTGGACACGCTTAAAGATTTTCATTTTTGTCTTGCTTCTACATATGAATTTCTTAAAATGCCTGAGCAAATACAAGCTCCAAGCTGTTAGTAGAAAATTTATTGCTGCACTCCTCCATATGCACATTCTTTAAAGGGAACTCTCTTCAGCAAATATACAGTATCTTGTATCGTGTGTTGAGGAGTGAGGCAGGATTAGCGTCTTCCCAAAACTACTTCTTACATGAGAAGGGAAATGCTTTGTTGTACGCCTGTACTCACATGGCTGCTTTGCAGTTGCCACTACAACACACCATATTGATTAGGAAAATTACTTGGTGCAAAATTTGACACATACTGCTGTCTTTGTAGACCAATAGAATACAGGCCAAAATCTTCAGAAGTTCAGCAATAACTACTGCAGTAGAGGATAAGTATCGAGGTCCTTCTTCTTTCAGTGTCCGGGAATAACGCATGGTCAAGACTAAACTCGTGGTCTGAAAAACCAGGATGCCCAAGGACAGGTATTTTAAATTGGTAGACATTTCTTGACTGTTTTCTTCCTGAAACAGAAAAAACCCAAACAAACAAACAAACAAAAACCAAAACAAACAAACAAACAAAACACACAGACTTAAAACGTAATACTGCAAATAAGTGAATAAGTTTCCCTAGGGAATCAGCATGTTAAAAAAAGTTATCCAGGGAGGTCAGCCAAAGGAAAACAACAAACCTAAGGTGATACTTAAAAATAAAAAAGAGATTAACACTTCAAAAATGTTTTTGGAATATATGATTACAAATGGGGAAGCATATCAGAATACTAGGGAAAGTGATAACTAATGGAGAAATGAAATGAAAATTTCTTATCTGTAATAATAACAAAGTAAAATAAAGACTATTAACTAATAATTAGCTTTCCAACAACTGGCTTCACAAATGTGATCTCCCAAGTTAAGCCAGTCATGGACTTCTTCACATAAGTGAAGGCTCAGCAGGTGTTTTCAATGTGAAGAAACCCCATGCCGTGGTGCTGCAGAATGCCCAGTCCTGCTGCTGCAATGAGCTATTCCCAGAACAAAGAGATCACATCCTTCCACCTCTCCATAGTTTTCCAGGTTGCAGTCTCTGCTGTGTCAGACAGCACAGTGCCAACACAACCCAGGGTGAGAGTTAGGCTGCCTTCAATGAAAATGAGAGGTATGCCTGATCCTGAAGGAGGAGTTGTTGTGGGAAAGCAGGGTTGGGTAGGAGGACATGGGATGGAGAAGCTGCAAAGGGGACAGCACTAAACCTGTCCTGCTCATTGTCCTGCTCACAAAAAATCAGTTGAATATAAGTGATTAGGTGACTGCACTGACTACCACAAACCTTAAAATAGTAAAGCTGTACCATCCACATTTCTACCATGGACTTTCACCAAGCTGAAATGGTTTTCCTTGCCTTTTAATGCTTTAATGTCACTTAAAGCATTAACTTCATGCATGAGACTAGTAGAGAAAGCAATTCTCACTTTGCAAGCACAATAGGAAATTAAATTCTCACTTGGAAACACACAAAGAAATTAAAAAATGCATTACTGCTATTTACAGTATTATGTAATTTTCTGCTATTTTTTATATTAAGAATTTCCATAAGCACAGAAATTCATGCTTTCTATAGAAAAAACCCACAACTACTGCCTTCACTGGTGACATATTCACAAGCAGAGCAGTGTTTTGTAATTCCAAAGTAAAATCAAGAACTTAAATATGTTTTCAAGGAAAAGAAACACAGCAACAAGTCAAGCCAACTAAAGCAGCTCTCACTTTTGGGAGCCTAGAGACAGTGTAAGCAGTACTTACTGGATGCATATGCCAGTGCTGTCCCTACGCACGTATTACACCTACAGGCACACAAGTTTTGACTCATTATCTATTTAATTTTTTATACACTGCTGAAAGATGTGCTGATACTGGTCTAAATATTTGTAGCTGAAACTGAGGCTATATCTTGCTGTCTGCTTTTCTCCAGCTCAAGTTGCATTTCGTAACGATTTTCATGGCTATTTTTTCAGAGATGTGGAGAGCTGTGCTATTCAAATAATCTTGACTTGTCTTTATCTTGTCTCTATGCATTAATAGATTTTCTCCAATCACGTTTACAAAGTCAATTTAACACCCACATAGCACAGATACTTGAAAGAGTCATTGCAGTACCCTGCAAACGAATATGAATTACCAACAGCCACACAGATACAAAGTACACAGTTGTATCCTACACAATAAAATTGTTTACCTGAAGAATCACAGGGCTGTAAAAATGTTTGAAAAAGCATACTGTCAAAGGAGAAGGAAAAAGATGCCTAGATGCAGAAAACTGAGGAAGAAAAGCACAAGGATTCCTTTAGGGAATCTTAACAGAAGATATTTCAATTCCATAAATATATAATATAAATAATATATTAAATAGAAGTTTTCTATGAATGGTCATCTTATTTAACTTGCTGAAGAAAATACTATAGATACAACTGCACTGGACAATATAAATCAGACAGAAATGTAAAGTATGAAGGAGAAGAAAGCTGCAGACAACATTCAAGATTTACTAACATTTTCCACAGGTTCTGGTGGAATAACCATTTACATGAGGATGTTAACTGTGGAACTGAGCATTGCCAACAACAAAATCAAGAAGATCAGCTACAACAGCTTTGCTATAGCTGAGAACAAGGAGGAGAAACAGAAGAACTGTTCCTATGAAGGGATGAAGAGGGGACATGCAAGATCAGCGATCACACTCTCTGGAGAAATGCCAGCAGCATAGAGAATACAGAGGGAGAAAAAGGGAAAGAAAAAAACCATATATACTGAGACAAAATACAGAACTGAGCCTCATTAAAAGGTCTGCCCGTGGCACTGGAGAAAACTGACATTGCAAAATGCACATTTATGTGAGCCACCTTGCACAAACAACTAATTCTAAGTTTTCCATTTACCTAATCTTTTAGTATTGAGACCCGACAATCTAGAAACACACAGGACAAGCACACTTACAGATAAAAATTTTTAAACTTCTTTTTTTTCAGTTTTCAAAATGCTTCTGAAGAAACTCAAGATAATGGGAACACACAGCTCTCCTGAACTTGGACAAAACATTCTGCGTTCTGTGAGCTGGTGAAGTGACAAAGTGTTTTACAAATGCTCAAAATTCTCAGAGATCAATTCCTTAACCTTCAAAATAGGTGACAATATCAGAAAATAATGTTCATATTCATTTCTTGCTGAAGTACAACCATCTATTTACTATGCAGCTTAAAATGTAATTTTGAAAGTAATTCACTAATATATTAGTTTTAAGCAAGTATCAAAGCATTCAGCGTGAAAACGTACCAACAAGCACAACAGTTTAATAAGCTCATCAGCAAAGCCATAAAGAATACATACCACAATATTATGTTGAATTACAGCCTTGTCTTCATTAGTAATCATGACAAAAAAAGAATCTTTCCACAGAAAACGTGTCTCAAAAAGGTGCCAGCAGCAGGAACTACTTCTTTACCATAATTGACTACATTCAGTTTCCAAAATTCTCACAAAATGGACTTTAAGTGTCCAGTGTGATAGCTAGAATAAGGATATTGGTTAAAACTGTCCTGCCAGTGGTCAGCAAGACAGGCTTGTGAAGAACAAGTGTGTGAAATTTCATGATGTACTTACACGTAGTTGGGTTCACAGAGCAGGAACTACAGAGTCCTGAAACTTACATATGCTAATAAAATAACCACCCTCTACTGAGCATATGTAATATCTTATCAGCTCTCCTGGTCTGTCTCCCTTTCTTTTCAGAGAGCTGCATATCAGTCCACAGAACTCAGTGCAAGCTGGGGACCGGATCCAGAACAGGAGCCAAGTACTGAACCTCAGACAGCTGAACTGCCTCCAGCTGCAGTGCACAGCAGGGTTACATTTACAGATTACACCCAGAGGTGTAATCCCTCCCTGCTAGCCAGGAGTTCCTGTTGCCTTCCCTGCAGCAGGATCTGCTGTCAGGCACTACATCAACTATTGTCTTCATTAACAGCCCATACTTTGATTGTCTTAAACCAAAAATGAAATCAAAGTTCCCAGCATGTTTCCTGTTACAAAGTTAGAACCAGGCTTAGAATTCTTACTGGGCTTTGGACGAATTGCTTAGTACTCTGCAGGATGCATCTGTTTCAAAAATCAGATTTAGGTTTGCTAATTCAAAGCTTGGAAGTTGAGTGCTCATATAAACTCAGTAATGTTTGAACTGTACCAGTTCAAATCAGTACCAGTGAGAGGTACTACATATCTGAAACTCATTGACTGCAACGTGGCCTGTCACATTTGTTAATTCACTGACTAGGCTCATTATTCTTTTCCTTAGTTTAGGCAAAAAAAAAAAAAAGGGTAAACCCCTTCTGTGTACTTTATTCAGTATACCCTGTAGACACACCCCACAGTCAGCAATATGGAAGGCATGGGAAGAGGTCAAAGGCAGGTTTATATGCGAAGTCAACAGGCAGCAAGCCAAGGCAGTATTTACAGCCACGTAACGTTCAGCTTTGGTACATGCAGGTGGATAAAATGCAGATGGATACCACACGAACAGTTGCTCCCCTTTAAAGCATAAAGGAAGAGGACCCTGGGAAGGTTTAACAGAATCAGAAAACAAAACAATCTACACAGAAAGAAATACCTTCAGCTCAAAGTATCATACTGTGCAAAGCCCGGAAAATATCTATCCAAAGGAAACAGATTTTTTTTTTTAAACATGAAAACCCACATATTTCCACTTCATGATATTCATTCAGACAAAAAAGATGTACTTCTGACTTGCAGATTTTCATCTCCCTTAGTAATTTCTCCATCACAGGCTAAAATTTCATATTTCACACTTTGTTTTTATACTGTCCCTACAATTTCTTTCCTAAAATACTGGTGAATTCTAATGTCTGGAGATGAACTACATTAGGCCAAAAGGAACATAATCAATTTGACTTAATTAACATATTTTTTATTTTCCTCTATTCTCAGTTGCTAAATATCTACAGTAACAGAATCTTGTGCAAAATTAAGGATTAGTTTATGAACTGATCCTACTCGAGTTTGTAGGAGGTCTTAAAATCTGACAGAATTACTTTTGTTTGAGGTATCTAAAAAATGAAGAAAGAGAACTCTAGAAAGAAACATGACTAATTTGTTTTAAACACTCTTCAGTCAAATGCAGAGACTAGAGGCTGTCTTGAGACACTTTCCAAACTATCTTTGCAAAAGTTACATTGAAAATTATGGGGATCCTTCTAGCAAGCATGGCCTAACACCATCTGCAAGAACAAAAGAGCAGGGGCAACTCCACAGATCCAACACTCCCAAAATTTCATACCAGGCTGATCATAAATTCATTATGATAAAGTGAAAAAAAAAAAAAAAAAAAAAATTAGTTTTCCTTAAATTTCTGAAACACCAAGAGAATATTAGAGAAAACTTGAAAAAAGAAATCAGCATCCAAAAACCCCCAGCAACCAACACTATCTCAAGAAGCAATGAATACAACA